GTTTGGGTCCGGAGGTGTGTTTGGGGGAGTGCACGCGCGTGGGGGATGTTTGGGAAGGGTGGGAGTTCGGGGCCCTTAAAATATTCTACCTTCCTGCAGACTTGTAGCTGCTGGGCGGTGCTCTCAGCTGCCCAGATGTCAAACAGTTGTTGCTTTTTGGCATACGAGATGCAATTAGACAATATCGGTTCTCAGCGTTTTGGCGAGGGCGGTTGTGCCGCCTCGGGAGTCCTGTCCCGTGTTTTCCTAGATGACAAACAGCGGTTCGGTTGTGGGGTTTAATCCATGCAGACTTCAGCTTTTGTTTCTAATTCCTGAAGCTCGTGGCAATTTTGACACTGGTTATCTGAGCCCAAGACTGTCTGTCTGTTTCTGTGTGTTTTGCATGATCTTGGATTGGCACCCTACCGTAGCCAAACATTAAAAAGCCTGTCTTTCCGTTGAAGAGGAAGGGGTTAAAATGAACGAAGACCCGAAGGTCAATTTAAGCGGGCTGCCTCGGGACTGTATAGATGCCAGTGCTCCGGAGAACATCTCAGCCGCTGTCCCCTCCCAGGGCCCTGTGGTGGAGTCAGAACCTGAGCTCGTTGTCAACCCCTGGGACATTGTCTTGTGCAGCTCAGGAACCCTCATCTGCTGTGAGAATGCCATTGTGGTCCTTATCATCTTCCACAGCCCCAGCCTGCGAGCGCCCATGTTCTTGCTGATAGGCAGCCTGGCTCTGGCAGACTTGCTGGCTGGCCTGGGACTCATCATCAATTTTATTTTTGCATACCTGCTTCAGTCAGAAGCCACCAAGCTGGTCACAATTGGACTCATTGTCGCCTCTTTCTCTGCCTCTGTCTGCAGTTTGCTGGCTATCACTGTGGACCGCTACCTCTCGCTGTATTATGCCCTGACGTACCATTCTGAGAGGACTGTCACATTTACCTATGTCATGCTGGTTATGCTCTGGGGAACCTCCATCTGCCTGGGGCTGCTGCCTGTCATGGGCTGGAACTGCCTGAGGGATGAGTCCACCTGCAGCGTGGTCAGACCTCTCACGAAGAACAACGCTGCGATCCTCTCCATCTCTTTCCTCTTCATGTTTGCGCTGATGCTTCAGCTCTACATCCAGATCTGTAAGATTGTGATGAGGCATGCCCACCAGATAGCCCTGCAGCACCACTTCCTGGCCACGTCGCACTACGTGACTACTCGGAAAGGGGTCTCCACCCTGGCTCTCATCCTGGGGACCTTTGCTGCGTGCTGGATGCCTTTCACCCTCTACTCCTTGATCGCGGATTACACCTACCCCTCCATCTATACCTATGCCACCCTCCTGCCCGCCACCTACAATTCCATCATCAACCCTGTTATATATGCTTTCAGAAACCAAGAGATCCAGAAAGCACTCTGCCTCATTTGCTGCGGCTGCATCCCTTCCACGCTGTCCCAGAGAGCACGGTCTCCCAGCGACGTGTAGGAGCCTTCCACCCGCAGGACACTGCTCTTCCAAGCACCCCCACTGCCCAGGATGGCCAGTGCGCTCCTCCTCTTCAATTCTTTGCACTGGATTCTCACAAGCAGAAGTGATGACATCAGTCATATAGGCGATGACAGCAGAAATCATGTCACCAGTGTTAAAAAAAAAAAAAAAGACTTCTCTGCTCAGCATTTTGTTATTTGGTTTGGAAGTTATTTTTATTATTATTATTTTTAAATATTTTATTTAATAAGTTTTGTTTGTTTGGAGGGTGTAGTGGGGCCCCATGTGGCCATGAAATTATGCACAAGATTTTTAACCTAGACTTAAAAATAAATCAGAGTTTTTAAGGAACCTGAAGAAGGGATTACTTTTTTGGGCTTTTTTTTTTTTAAATCAAGGTAGATCTTTCATTCTGTATGTATCTAACAGGATATGAACTTTTTCATATGACCAGAATAGTTTACATAATTATGTTTGGAAAGACTTGTTTTCAGGAACATGAACTCAGTAGTAAGTTATAAATAACAAAACCCCAAACAGCCACTACTCGTGAGAATTACCTTGCAGTTTCTCTGTGTTACAGTTTGGTATGCATGGTTACTTGTGGTAGTTAGACCACTAATTGCAACATTGCCACGTGAAACCCAGAATTAAGAGTCATTTTTCAATACAGTTTTAATAGATTCTTTCCAAAATGAGTCTCATAAAAACCATTTTGAATTACATGTGAGGTAGCTCTGACTAGATATGCCACTGTAATTTTTAAACTTCCGTCTGGTGGTTTTCAGAAAACAAAAGAGAAAACATTAAGAGTATCTATTGAAAGTAGATTATATTTATTTTTAATATATTCTGAAAAATAAATGAGTATGATGCTGTTAAGAAATATACAAACATCACCTTTCATTTTGTCTATGAATATATTGTTTTTCTTGCTTAAAATGGGTAGAATTAAGTATTATAAGCCAAATTTTTCTGGTTCATATTGTTGGTAGTGCAAAGTGCATCTGAAGCAGGTGGTCTCCTATCTTAATGACCAGGTCTGTGGTGCCCAGCTAACTTGACTGGTGTGTGCCATCTGTGATCTGTGTCCTGCGGGCTCACGAGAACAATGACCATGTGTTTGCTGGTGAAAAGTTTAACTTATTTTCACCAAAAGATACTGTGAATGCAACAAGGGCTCTGTTACCTGTTTTCAGAGAGAAAATTATTACAAGAAGGGAGTTGAAACACTCAGCAAGGTCATTGTGCCTGAATGTCCTTTTCCGTGAGAGCAGGCGGATGCAGACACAGACACTATCCCTCTGTTTGTAATGGGCTCATTGCTATGTCTCTACAGAAAGTGTGAGAATCCCTGGACGGTGTGTCAAGACCAGTATCCTTAGGTGGATCATTTGTAATAGGTCCCCCTCAAAGATTTGTCCCAGTCAGTATGCCCATGGTGGTTTTAGGACCAATATACAAAGCCTGAATGCCAAAGCCATTCCTCCAAAGCTGCTTCTCAACTCTCACACATGAGAATAAATCCTCTACCTGAATCTGCAACTCCTCTTTGAGGCTCTTCGCAGAAGCACGTGAGGGGGTGAAAGAGTCAAGACGTGGGGAGGAATTTTCAGCACTGTGTATTCACCCCCAATCCAAATGACAGCTTTAAAACATCTCTTTGGAATATCGGAGAGGCTTGGCAGAATGCACAGGTGGAGTCTGTTTATTTATTTACCTAAATATTTGATTTATTTTACTTACATGGAGATGCATGTGTGTGCATCTGTGTGTGTGCAAGTGGGTGCAGGTGCCCAGAGAGGCCAGGAATATCCAGCTGGCCTGGAGCTGGAGTTACAGATGGTTGTGAGCCACGTGTAGATGGTGGGAAAAGAACCTGGGTCTTCTGCAAGAGCAGCCAGTGCTCTTAACCACTGAGCCATCTCTCCAATAAGTTAGTTTAGATGTGGGCATGGGAATCTTCACAATGAGTTCTTAAAGCGACAGACGATGTTTCATGGAAATGGAAGCTCTCATTTGCGTATCTCTGGTAGGAATTACAGGAGAGCAACACATTCGCCTGAACCACGTGTGTTCTCAGCTCCACACGTGGTGTCTTACCAGCTTTTTTTTTTTTTCTAAAGAAACTGTGGCTGCAGAGAGAGGTGAAGAAACAGAGTGAGGCTACAGAGCTGGAGTAGAGGCTCGAACTGACGACAGGCTTTCCTCAGCGTAGATCGGGTCCCTTCCCTGTATAATGTTATCTTTGATCCCTCACTCCACAGAAACCTGCTTTTTAGCAAGTCACTGTTACAAAACCTGGGTTCTAGAATTCGGAGAACACTTCCAGTTTAAAATTACATGGGGACCAATAGCCCAATGTGGGTAAATGTTTTTGTACAAAGTGAGTTGTGTGAAACGGTCTTATAAATATTTATTAAGTGGTTGTTTAAAAGGTTTTACATTAATTTGTTTGTGTATGAGTATATGTGTACATGTGTATGGGAGTGTGTGTATGTATGTATGTGTGTATATATGTGTGTGTACCTGCATATGCATTTGTGTGTATATGTGTGTATGTATGTACGTGTGTATGTATGTGTGTATATATGTGTGTGTGTGTATCATGGTACAAGTATGGAAGCCTGAAGACAATCTGAAAGTTAGTTCTCAGGTCTCTCTTTCTACATGTGGGTTCTGGTATTGAACTTGAGTCATTAGGCTTGGTGGCAGGTGCCTTTTACCTGCTGAGTCATCTTACTGACCCAGTGGTTGCTATTGGCCCATGTTTTTGAAAACCACCTGATTTTACCCAAGAGATTTTTCTTCAGTCTTATTTCCTACAAGATTTCTCTATATTTTGATAGGAATGCCACTAAGAAATGGGCACCTATCTCAGTATATGTATATGTGCACAAAGCTATGAGTATATATTAGTTATATTTTGGGCCACTTTAGAACAGCAGAGAACAATTACAATTCCTACTTACCAAGTAATTTATAGTCTTGTCAGTAGAAATAGTTGTATCTGTGAGAAAATTTAATTATTTTACCAGACTCCTTCATTAGTCCAGAGTATTTACCCAGATGGTGACTATCTGAATTCTGTCTCATTTTGGTTTTTGCCTTTCTTTATTTAAGTCAAATCCACTCGGTTTTCCCTCTTTTTCTTTTCCCTTGCTGAGGTTGAAAACTCAGCTCTTTGCTCTCGCTAGGCAAGTTTGTGGTCACTTAGCTACATACCCAGCTCCTATCAAGTTTGCTAGTGGTAGGAGCGGTCCTTCTCCCTTCCTGGTAGCTGAGATGGGGGCCAGGGCCTTCCTCACTTAGATGCCTAAATCAAAGAACCAAGTTGTGGGCCAGAAACAGTCATAGACTTCCCCAGGATTTGGAGCAGGATGGAAACATGATAGAGACAGGAGTATGTTTCATACCCTAAAGAGCAGAACAGAGATTTCTTAAAGTTAAAAAAAAATATATTCATCAATTACTAAAATACTGGTTACCTTGGCTTCACAATCTCAGGAAGCATCCTGCGGAGGGGAGCAGACACCATCCCACGCTGGAAGAGCACACTGCATCAGTGACCACTCTGGTGTGATTTTGAGCCATGGTCACACTCGTTCCTACCATGCTGATTCTCACAAGGTTGACACTGGAACATGCTGCTTACTTGTCCCGTCTGAAACCGGTAATGCTTGTTGTGTGGCTTTGGTGTTCATTTAGGACCTTTAGATATCTCTTGAACTTTAGGAATCATTTAACTTGGAACTGGAGAGATGGCTCAGTGGTTAAGAGCACTGGCTGCTCTTCCAGAGGACCTGCGTTCAATTCCTAGCACCCTCCTGATAGCTCAGTACTGTCTGTAACTCCAGTTCCAGGGAATCGGATACCCTCGCACAGATATACACACAGGAAAAACAGCAATGCATATAAAATAAAAATAAATTAATAAAAAATCATTCAACTAAGGATTTTTTAAATAGTTTTATACATTGTAATTAAATTAGGAGATGTATCTGCCTTCTTGAAAACAATGAAGGAAAAGATTATGGTCACTTGCATAAGGGTATCTAGAATGTTCTGTATTTAAGAGCATATGAATCCCCCAAAAACCTTGTTAAAAGTTCAGATTCAGGCTCCTGGGTCCTGGGCATGGCTGAGTGTCTCACTAATTCCTGAGGGATTCTGATATTGAGTGTCTGTAAGTGACACTTTGAAATCTCACAAAGAAAATGTCAAATTTCCAACATATGTAAAATATTAATATAATACATAAATATCAATCCAATAAATACACGTATTTAAAGTGTTTATCCTCCTGAGTGCTAGTGACTAAACAGAGCGTGTCCAAAGGCCACGAACCTTAACCTTTTCTAGAGTCTCCCAATATGGAGCTACGAAGACCTAGGACTGTATGGGTTCCACGTCATGGTCTCGCTGTTCTAGATCCAACTTTCATGATCTGAAGGTAGTAATTTCTAGAAACTCTATGCAGTGTCCCATCTGCTGATGCCCCTCCCAGCAGCAAAGGTCTTCACTTCGAGTTTTCAAGGGCAGAGGCTCTTTCTGACATGAGTGGTTTGTGTGTGTGTGTGTGTGTGTGTGTGTGTGTGTGTGCGCGCGCGCTCACACATGGGTTCACCTCGGGGTAATTAAGATGAAAACCTTTGTTCTTCAGGCTCAGTGCTGCAGCTGAGTTCACCACAAAGCAATCGTTCTCCACAGGGACATCAAAGGCCTGTGAAGCGATCTCACTTCCATTTGACATTTATCTGTAACCTTTTTTTTTTGTGTAGCATTAAAAATTCTGTTAACCTTCACCCAAAACATTCATCTCCTGTGCTTTCGTTCTGTCCAAAGAGACGAGAATTTTGCATTTTGTTTTCTCAGACAGAAGTAGGTTAACGTAAATAGTTGCGGTGAATACCAGCACACAACTTAAATATCTCCTTTGTAGAAAATCGTTTTAAAAGTGATTTAGGTTTGTTTTTGTTTTTGAGACAGCATCTTTTTTTATGTAACCCAGGTTAGAATCTGATTTTTTTTTTTCCCCTCTAGATTCCAAATCCAGTATGAAAGGTCAGGCCTGGGACACTGAGGCAGGAGGGTCTGGAGTCTAAAGCTAGCCTGAGAATCTAAGAATTTTTCTCTTCCTCTTCTTCTTCCTCCTCCTCTCCTTCTCTTTCTTCTTTTCCTCCTCTTCCTCCTCTTCCTCATCCTCCTCCTCTTCCTCCTCTTCTTCCTCCTCATTCTCCTCCTCCTCTTCATCTCTCTCTATAGGAGTCTAAAGTTGGGCACCAGTGAATAGACTTTTCACTTGAAAGTAAGTTTAGAGGCGAAATGAAAATGCTTACTTGGACACAGATTATCTTGGCGTTTGGTTATTTGGATAGATCATTTTAAGTAGAATATTTTAAACACTAAACCTAAAAATAATAAGACTACAGAATTTTCAGTAAGGTTCGGAGTTACATTTCTCAACCAAGTAACTTATTTGGAGTCCAGGGGAGTCCAGGGTGACTAGAAATGTGAGCTTTTCCACAGGGAGGGGCTGCGGCCAGTCTTCTACAGATGTCATGAAGTCATTGGGGTAAACCCTGGGAGGGAGTTGCTTCTGATCCAACTGTATCTTCCTTCTAGGGCCATTTGAACCACAATAAATTGTTTCTTGTATTCTACA